CCTCTCCCAGTCCCCAAACTGGTAGAGAAAGGTAAGACAGGCTTATTTGTCCTCTGCTGTCCCATCCCCAGGTTCCCCACAGCACCAACAAATAAGACTGGATGTGGGGGTCAGATGACTGAAAAGTTTATGGTAGAACATGACAAGGTAAGAGGAAGGGTTTTAAAGAGAGGGGAGGAACAACATGGTTGGAATCAATTGCCTAATAATTTTTTTAAGAACAAGGCTAATGTTCTATTTTAAACTTTGGCATTGTTGTGATAGAAAATATACGGTGTCTCCAAATCTTCTGTTTCATTTGTGTGCCTGGCACATTTTTGGTACACAATACATATTTGTTACATGAATGAATGGATCAGCTCAGGTGGGTTGAACACAAAGCAATGAGCCCCAAACCCATCCTTGCCCAATTCCCCCAATCTTGTTCCCCAGAGGCAATCACATTTACCTCATTGGTACCCTCTTCTCTCTAAATATTATTACCTATAATAATTATTTATTAAAATAATATTTATTAATAATAATATTATTATTAATTAGCAGCTTATGCTGCTCATTCTGAATTTACCAGTTTAGATCTTGCATGCTCACTTCCTGCCCAGAGAGGTAAGAATTTAGTAAATTAACCACCTCAGATTTTCCCTACCTGCAACTCCTAATGAATTATATGGCTATCATTAGCTTTCCCATTAATTACATTTATGATGTTAAATAATTATTGTATTTTATTTTCAAGTTTATTTATTTATTTTGAGACAGAGAGAAAGAGCGAGTCAGGGAGGGGGAGAGAGGGAGAGAAAAGAATCCCAGGCAGGCTCTGTGCTGTCAGCACAGAGCCCGTGAACCATGGGATCATGACCTGAGTTGAAGTCTGACGCTTAACTGACTGAGCCGCCCAGGTGCCCCAATAATAATTTAAAAAAGATATTTCTTGTTTCAATTATAAGCAGTATCTCTTTACTTTGTCAAATAAGAATATTGTATTCCATACTTTTCTTTTCACCTCTCTTGGTCTCTTTACATTGTCATGATTAACATTTAAAATACATTTTATAACCATTGTTATGAGATTCTTGCTTCGTCTACAGGTGAAGTGTAAATCTGAATATCCGTAAACAATGTTTACATCTACATTAGCATTGTCCACTTATCCACTGCCCTCGTGAGTTGCATTCCATGACTAGACTGTACTTGTTTTTTGTATACTTTTGGTCATACACCCGCTTGACTTCTAATTGCCTTTTTACTTTTATCTCAAATTGTCTGCTTTCATGGCATCATTAGAACAGGTTCTTCCAACATTTCCAGGATACTGTCACATCTAAGGACTCTTTTCTTTCTGTAGGCAGTTCTCTTGCAGCCCTGAGGTCTTCCTTCAATTTGGATGGGGGGCTCTCAGGCCTGCTGCACAGTTGTCATTGTGGGACTTGCCTTCATTGCTTTTGTGAATTAGTTCTATTGTTCATACATCCAACCTGCTCCAATTTCTTGGATAATTCCCTTGTTTTGCCAGCCCACATTCTCAAGAAGCATCCTAAAAAAAAAAGAGTATTTGGGAGAGAAAGCTTTCTTGGTTTATGTTTACCCTTCTTTTTCATTCTGCCCCCATATTGTATTGATAGTTTGGCTTGGTTTGGAATTCCAAGTTCAAAATCATTTTCCTATGGAACTTTCAGGCTTGTTCATCCCAACATCCAGTTCTGTTGATGGAAAGCTAGCCTATTGCTAGCCTGATTCTCATTCCTTTATGGAGGATCTGTATTTGCGCTCTGGAAGCTTTTAAGATCTTTTTATTCTTGCTATCCTTAAATTTTAAGATATGCCTCCATACAGACTTTTTCCTTTTCAGGACTTAATAGGTCTTACACATTGCAGATTCATGTCTCCCTTTTGTTCTGAACATTTTTTTCTTTTAAGTTTCATCTAACCATCCTCTCTGCTCTCACTCTCTGGATCTCCTGATGTTGAAACCTTGATTAATTCTGTATGACTTACCTTTTAGGACACGCTTTCTGTCTCGGCTACCGCTCTCTATTCTCTACTTTTCTCCTTTTCTTTAATCTTGGAGAAATGCAAATAGAGTCTATTCAGTTGATCTTACAGGCAATGACCAACAAATGAGTTGTAACTCATGTTAACGCCTTCCATTTAAAGGCTTATCCAACATCAGCCCTGCTGGTTTACTGGATGAGTGTTACTTATGATGCTGTGTTTATCCCTACTACAAACCAATATCTGTCCTCAGTGCTGTGGTACATAACCGCGAACAGAAAAACTAAGTTCCTTTGTGGTAGAGGGAGACAGACAACTGGTAAAGTGTTGCAATGTCAGGTATAGTTCTGGAATCAGCAGCTGTAGGCAAAGCAGTCAATTTGGCAGACAGCATCTTGGTCACAGACAGGAGGCAGCTCCCTTGATGGCTTACCTTTCATTGTGACTTCAGGTATTTTTCTCAGAGTTGTACCTATGTTTCTTTAGTCTACTTATGATTCTGTAACATGTTAATATCCTGTAAGAAATTTTTTTTTCTTAGAGTGAATTCTAGGAGTTCTGTTCCCTGCAACAGAACCTGACTGCTACAATATTTACAAAAATAAATTGCATTTTTAGCAAGCTGCCTTTTTGGTATTTTTCCCTCTGTCCTAAGTTCAAACAGCAGGAACAAACTTCAACTTAAGAATCCAGCACCAGCTTCTGTCTCCAGTTTTCTGTGTAGTCAGGAAAACCCTCTTACGATTTGCCATCAAAATAGAGAAGTGAATTAATAAGAATTGCAAACTAACAGCTAAACAGAGGTGTTCACTGTACCAAAAAGTACTGAAGGCTTGAGGATAAGAAATCTGAAAAGTGTCTGAGCTTCCCAGAGCTTCAATAAAGGAAGAAGTGTTTTTTTCTAGAATGTTTTCTAAAATGCATTAAAACTGAGTATCGGGGCACCAGGGTGGCTCAGTCAGTTGAGTGTCCGATTGTGGCTCAGGTCATGATGTCACAGTCCCTGAGTTCGAGCCCTGCATCGGGCTCTCTGTTTGTCAGCGTAGAGCCCACTTTGGATCCTCTGTCTCCCTCTCTCTCTGCCCCTCCCCTGCTCACGCTTTCTCTCTTAAAAATAAATAAAACGTTAAAAAAAAAAACACCTGAGTATTACACTGCCAAACTACTGCATGAGATGGTCCATTGACAGATATACCTAATTTATGAAATGCAATGGTTTATTTTGAATAGTTTACATTAAATTTTTTTTTTGTTTGCTTCTAGAAAATGCAAAAGCATACTGTCTTAGTGAGCCTGGGCTGCCTTAACAAAATGCCAGAGACTGAGTGACTTAAACAACAGACATTTATTTTCTCACAGTTCTGGAAACTGGGGAGTCTGGAATCAAGGTGCCTGCCTGTGCGGCTCCTAATGAGAACTCTTCCCGGCTTACCACCCTCTGCTGTCAGAAAAAGGGAGCTCCTCTTTTTATAAGGTACCAGCCTTTCTGGATTAGAGTCCCACACTTATGACCTCATATAGCCTTAATTAGCTCTTCACAGGCCCTAATATCACAAAGAGTCACACTGGGGGGTTAGGGCTTCAACATACGAGTTTGGCAAGGGGCACAATTCAATCCATACTTTCTGGATTTCTGCTTTAGAAAATGTAAAAATAATTTACACTATTATTATCGGTAACAAGGAAAACTAACATTTATTCAGCGACTAACATGAGCCAGGCACTGTGGTGAGTGCTTTATAAGTATTTTCTTATTTCATCCTTATAACCAATGAAGTTAAGTTCATAACAGATTAAGAATCAAAGCCCAGAGATGCTAAGTAACTTGTCTACGATCAACAACAGAAGACTCCAACAGACAGTCCTTTTAGCCACTATTTTATAATTAAATGTATGAAATACTGGTACACCATATACCAGTTAAGAAGAGTCGCTCAGGAAGGATTCTACAACCACATAACACTAGGAACCCACTGGGTACCATGGAGTGACAAGGTTACTGGTGTGGTATGGACCCCACCCTCAACCTGCTAGTGTGGACACTGAAAGGTTGGCTGAGGTGCTGCTCTGCAGGTGAGGGAGCGTTGGATTACATACTAATTTACATTCTCCCCAGCGGTATCTGAGTCTGTTGCCCCACAACGTCACCTGCAATTTATATCTTTTTTAATACAAAACCTGGGCTTTCCATTTAAATAAGACCTCACCTACAGTTCAGAATAAAAATACAAACACTGACATGCCCCATTTCCTGTAAGAAAAATCCTCTATGTAGTCATTGTGATAGGATTTCATCACAAGCCATTATCAAATGTAAACCACGATAGCAAGTTCACAAGGTTTAAATACAAACCAGAGTCAGCCTAAAATCTGAGATGCCCGCTCGGCTCTTTGATCTGAAATACTACAAGAAAACTCCTAAAAACAAAGCCATAAGGGAAAAATTACGGAAAATAATTACAAACATTCTTGTAGTTTTAAATATCTCAGTTCTCTGGGTTGGCATAAATTTTAGGCATCTAGGCCCGTTAAAAGAATAATGTTATGAATATTAACAGAAAAGTAACTTCATGCTTCACTCTTCGAAACATTAAAACGAACT